GAGATCCTGCCTCTTGCCTCCACTGCGTTTCTTCCTTGCACCATTGTGTTTCCTCTCAGCAGGTAAAGCTTGGGAGTTTCTTGTTCCTTTGGGACTTCCAGGCCGCCCTCGGCAGAGGTGCATCAGGACAGGCTCTGCGGGGTCAGGATAATGGATGCCTGTTATGCACGCAGGGAGGAAGGGGGAACACGAGACTTTGTAATGGAGCATGCCAAAGCTATCTAGATTTGTGTAAAAAGCAGCTGCACACTGACCCTGTTACAACAAGCCCTCCACCACCCTTAACCCTTGAGCCCCTAGGCTTGGAGGGGGACAGTCCACCATCACCCAGGGCTTCCCTGGGGCTTCCCAAAGGGTGTCTCGTGGCAGGAGCACTGGTGGGATGCTCACTTCTAGGAAAGCATTATCCCTCTGGCAGGGTAGAGAGGGTGGTCTCTCCCCACAGGTACAGATTAAGCTGCATAGCTTTGCATGAATTTTGAGAAGCCCGGGAAAGGAGGAATGCTGGGAATTGGTGTTTGGTGTAGCAGTGAAAAGAGCTTGAGTCTCTTGCTAGGGTTTTGGGTGAGACAGGCATGCCACATGAAGGCCCCATTACTCCTATTCTTTGCAGGTTCCTCTGTCCCCAGTCCTGAGTTCTCAGGAGAAGAGAGGAAACCTTCCCACATGCTCCCAGGGACACAGACAGGCCTTGAGCACTATGACATTCAGAGCTTCTGATTTGTGCATTGTCAGTAATTCAGGCATAAAACGAGATACATGAGCTTCGTTCTCTTTTAGCCTACTGGGGAGTTAGAATCGAATTGAATACGCTTAGGAAGCATTTCTTTACTGAGAGGATGGTCAAACACTGAAACAGCCTTCCTAGAGAGGTGGTCAATACTCCAAGCCTGTCAGTATTTAAGAGGCATTTGGGCAATGCTCTTAATAATATGCCTGAATTTATTCAGCCCTGAATTGGTCAGGCAATTGGATTAGATTATCATTTTAGGTCCTCTTCAATTGAAATAGAATAGACAGAACAGAATAGACAAACTGGAATACAGCAGACAGAACAGAATATCTTGTTTTGGTTGGAAGGGATCTACAACAATTCAGGAATGACTCTCTTGATAAAGAAATGCTTCCTAAAGCGTTGGAAGTTGGAAAAATTACAAGAAATTATGGGGAAAAATTTATGCCTGTTCTGGACTAAAGGTTTCTGTGCGGCACAGAGGGGTGGCAAGTCCATCCCAAACAGGCTATGGCCAGACCTGGCCAAGAAGCAAATAAGCTGTGAGGCACTGGGGAGGCAGGGGACTGTGATGGCTTTGGATTTGTTTGAGATTGTGAGGCTCTGTTGGCTCTCATCTAGTTTGCTCATGCAAATCATTTTATGTGTTGTTATTTTACAACAGATCTTGCTGACTCTTCCAGTCTCCGTGATGCTCACAAAGTCCACATAAGGCTGCATAAAACCCTTCCAAGGCTGGAAGTACAAGGAAGCACTGCAGGAGCCTGTCCCACCCCCAGACTTCCCCTCCTGAAACTTGTGGGTAAGGAATGTCTCAAGGGGTACCCTGGGTTCAGGTTCAGCGAGAGGAGGAAAGTGAGGAGTATTTCAACAACTGAATTGTATGTGCCTCTGAAATTAAAGTGTTAATTAACATACAGTCCCCGGCCTGTCTGTCAGATATCAGGCAGTCAGACATAAAGAGTTTATAAGTAAATAAATATATGCATATATCATTCTGAGGCATTCAGCCAGTGTGCATCTTCCACACCTGCAGCCAGGAGTGGCCAGAAAACTGTTGATGATGACCCTCAGTTTCCAGTTAAATGCTGTCAGAGCGGGGAAAAAAAAAAACAAAAGGAAAAACATGAACATTTTTGTTGTCCTACATTCCCAGTGTTTTCCTGTTCTTCCTCCCCAGCTGCCAGCCAGCAGTGGGGAAGGACAGAGTGTCATTTTTTTCCTGAAACGTGCCCTTTGGACATAAAGCATAGTGTGGCTGGGCTGGTCCTCTCCTCCTTTTTCTCTTGCACACAGAGACGGAAGCACTGAAGGTTCTGGGTTCAGTAGTGAGTTAGAGATTAATGACCTGTGATACGTGCTGTCAAAAAGCTAATCTGATGGCTTAAGCTCCCAAGGGGTCTGTATGATGGTCTGTCCCAGATGAGGTAGCCCAAAGAACACCAACAGAAAAGGCCACAGCTGTGGAAAGGCTGTCCTTCTCCCTCATGGCAGAGCAGGCAGCCATATCCCTTCCTTTCTCTTGATCTGATCTGGGCAAACTGATGTGCTGCATAATGCCAAGAAACGAGATCAGTAGATCTGGTGAGGTCTGGTTTCATCCCTTCTCCAAGGAGTGGTGGGTGACAGCTTTGGTTTAACGTATAGAGAGATTTTTCTGAAGAGGATGGGAGGCAATGCAGCCAGTCTGAGGAATGGAAAATTGTAGCTAGATTTAAGGAAGAATGTGTTCCTGGTGAGGGTGTTTCAACACTGCAATGATTCCTGAGGGGCTGTGGATCCTCCATCCTTGGCACTTGAGTGGATGGGGCCCTGAGCTACCCAGTCTGACTTCTAGGTTAACTCTGCTTTAAGCAGGGGAATGAGTGACTTCACAAGGTCCCATCCCACCTGAATTACTCTGTGATTCTAAGCGTAAAAATACTGTTAGTAGTAGCACAAACCCTCACAGTCTAGGGAAGCTCAAGCATGTGTGGATTCTTACAGAACAAGGGTTATATTCCCAGAACATTTTCAAACTGGCAGAAGGAAACATTAAAGCACACTGCAGTGGAAGCCTTTGCCTCTCCAAATCAGTTGTTTAATAGGGGTTAATGTAACACTGGGAAACTCTCCAAATCATTTGTTTAATAGAGGTTAATATAACACTGGAAAATATGTGCTCATAGAGGTGACACCTTATTTTTTTCCCTCAGCCAGATGCTCCTACAGTTTTATCTCTTGCTCCCTGCCCTTCTTCTGAGCAAATAAAAAATTAAGATGGTTAACTTTTAAAGAGTAATATGAGAATGCAGTGCTGTACCTTGATTTTTGGTCACATTTTCCCTCGTTGTGGTTTGTGCTGTTGTGGTTTTTTTGTTTACTGTTTGACTTACAACTTGTGTGCACAACTTGGGTCAAGCAGCAGAAGGACACAGACTTTGCACTTCTTCAAGATTTATGTTTTCTCAGTCCAAAATCTCAATCTAATCTACAAATTTGCTATCTACTAGACTCACCCATTTGGAGATAAGGCACCTCTGAGCTTGGAGAAGGAAAGGCAGGAGGAAGCAGTGTTTAGCACCAAGCTGATTTGCATAGGCTGGGAAACAACTCTGGACTCAACATCTTTTCACTCCTCTGCTTTGAAAGTGCCCCGTGACATCCTCACCTTCTCAGGGACCCGTGTCCTGGGCACACGTGGACAGCACAAGGTATCTGCTGTCTCATGCAAACTCAGAGCCCCAGCAGGCACAGATCAGCCTGCTCAGCCACAGCTCTTTTCCCTCTCTAATTGATGCTTTCTGATTGTTCTGGCTCTAGCCAGGAGCTGTAGATCTCTCACAGGCCTCCCAGCAACTGTACCCTCTGGAGCCTGGGTTTCTGTGCCCCAGCCCTCTCCCTGCCCAGGCAATCCAAGCAGCAGGAGCCATGCAGGGAACAGCCCTGTGTGCAGCTCAGGGGGTGTGATGGGTCCCGGGCCTGCAAACCCGCAATGGTTACAGACTTCCTGGACACGTGCTGCCTCTGGCAGTGTGCCCTGAGCCACGTCCAAAGTGACCTCATGCTCCATCACAGCCGGGGAGTGACTCAGGAGGAGCTTGGCCTGACACTGTCAGGCAGTGTCTGGTTCGGGCACCCCCCACACTATTGTCCTCCCTCTCCCCCCACCCTGTGTTGGCTGGTCCCCAAGGGAAGGGGATTTTGAGGTGTTTGCTGGCAGCAAAGGCAATGCCACAAGGGGATGTGGTCTGTGGGGACTGTCTGGGAACAGGGAGAGCAATGGAAGGAACGATCCCTGGTGTGTGCAGAGCTGCCATGTGTGGAGGTCACAAATTGTCCCAGCCTGTGTAATGAGCCCCGAGTCCCAGCGCCACACAGAGCAGGGCACGAAGACAAACAGAGTGTGCTTGGCATGGGCTGACGGGCTGATGAGAGCCATTTCCAGCAGGCAGGGTGCTGAGTGGCTGTCCCTCCACCCAGGAGAAGTGACACAGCTCTGACACAAGGGACCTGCGTCAGTTCCTGTCCCTGCCATGGGCTCCTGCAGGGCTCAGAGCAGTCCGTGTGTGTCTGCCTGTGATAGTCAAGGGGGTATCATCCTGTCTGGGAGGTGGCCACAGAGGCAGTTCTTGGGTCTCCAGTGTCTGCCCCATGACTTCAGGGCACACCTGAGATGCTCCTGCCGTGTCCTCCCCAGCACTTCTCCTTGATTTGGGTACGAGCTGTTCTAGAGGGTCCCTGTGGTGCTGTGGGACCAGCTGGGGCACTGACGTGCCAGGGAGGCACATTATGTGAGAGAAACTCAAGTTTTTTCCACTCTTGGTGTAAAACTGTACTCAGAGAAGCACTGAGGGGAATCAGGACACTGGGGACACGAGGCTTGGAAGCCGGGCTGTGGGCTGAGGAAGGTGCTGTGCCGAGGGGAGCCCAGCTAAGCACAGCACCTCAGAGCCTCCCTCCACGCTGCAGCCACCACCGCCCTTCCCCTGCTCCCCTCCAGTGGTGAAGTGTTTCACGGACCAGCAGAGAGGAGAGCAAAGTCTCGGGGTGCCTGGTCCCAGCTGTCAGACAGCTCTTTCCAGGGCAGATGTAACTGGAGATGTAACCACCATATTTCTTTAAGGAACTTGTGAGGGGAAACCACTGGCAGTGCAGGGGTAGAGACAAGGCTGAGAACGTGCAGCAAAGGCAGCTCTCGCTCTTCCAGCGGCTGGAATGGAAGGGTTAAACCCTGGTCCTGACCCCCACCTCCTGCTGTCCTTCTGGGCAGCAGAGCCAGTTGGTGACAAGAGGCTGATGCTGATGAGGGAGCATGTGAAGTCAGAGCTGTGAATGGGGCTTTATCCCAGGAGGGACCTGCCTCTGCTCTGTCCCTGCCCTGCTGCCAGCACCAGCTGCAGGCAGAGTCCTGTGGGCAGCAATGTGCCAGTAGCCTCTGAGCAGGGCACATGGGGCTGGGGAGGCAGGAGACTCACCCTTGGGCCAGGCTGAGGTTCCCCCGAAGTGCGTGGAGGTCTCCTGGGAAGATGTATGTGGATGATCTGTTCTCCAACGCACAGGGCTTTTGTGAGGGAGGCAGGGTGAGGTCTGCAGGCCAGCCTGGAGCAGCCAAGGCCCAGGGTTCGGCAGGGGATTGATTGGTACAGGGGAGCAGGGTCTCTGTTTAATGAAATCTTCTCTTCTTGACTCTTTCAGATGAAAGGTACAGGAAAGGAAGGACACAGCCCCGGTTATTCCCTTATGGTGCTGCTCTGGGAATGCTCCACTATGTTCCACAGCCGTGCCTGGATGGTGGGCTCAATCTCAGCACATGGACCGTAGCTCTCCAGGTGGCACCACTGCAGAAGGAAACTCCATGAGGATCCAAAGAATGAGACAGAGACATCACTGCTCGAGAAATGTAGCTGCCTTCACCACTGCTGCTGCCTTGAACCTCCACTTTGCCATAAGGGTGTAGATTCATCTGTGCAACCACCCCACTGTGCCCTCCTCACCCAGCTGCCCACCATGCCAGAGCTGGCAGAGCTGAGCAGCCCCCGCACCCCTGCAGACGCAGACCACATCCAGAGGAACATCTTGGAGGAGCATGTGGAGCTCTGGTGGTTCCAGGACCCTAAAAAGTCCATCCTGTGCTACGGGATGGCTGTGGTGCTGATCCTGGCCTGTGGGATCGGGGGCATCATCCTGCTTTACAGCACTAGCAGCCGGTCTGGAGAGTGGCGACTGGCCGTGGGCACCACGCTCTGCCTCCTGGCCCTGCTCGTGCTGCTGAAGCAGCTGCTGAGCTCTGCAATCCAGGACATGAACTGCATCCGCAGCCGGGATCAGATCGAGCTCCTGAAGAGCGGGGGCTTCTCGGACTGCCTGGTGCTGCTGCTCAGCGCCCTGGTGCTGCTGGTCTGTGGGGTCGTGCTCACCATCCTCTCCACCACGACCATGCAGCTCAGCCCCGCGCGGCCGCTGGCCAGCATGTTCACCAGCGGGGTCGTCCTCCTGACTGCTGGCAGCGCCATCCTGCTCTGCCTGCTGCTCTACCTGCTCTGCACCTCCTGCCGCCGGGCCGCTCCTCGGAGCCTGGAGACCGGCGAGATCCGCGTCTTCACCATCTCCGGCCGCCTCGCTGGGAGCAGGCGGCTGCCTCCCACCTCCAGCATGGCCAACCTGATCTGACCCAGGACACCTCTGCGTGAGCCTCGGTGGATACAACCTGTCAGTGCTGGCCTTTCCTGAAGGAAGGGCGAGAGCTGTGATGTGCCTTGTGCTTCTGCCAGGGATGACTGGCATTTGCTTTGCTGATGGCACAGGAGAGACTTGGGGTGCCTGGACGGGCTCTGGGACCTGCTGTGTTGGGCGTGCAGTGCTGGCCTGGTTGGTGTTTTATCTCCTCAAACCTCCTGTGACAGCTGCTCCTGCCCGGCTGTGACCCGTGTCACAGAGTGAAGGTGAGCCTGTCCTGTACCCCTGGGGACCCCAGTACTCGCTTGGTTCCTGCAGGTCCTGGAACTGTCACACGCTCTCCTGGCAGGAGAGGCTGTGATTGTGGGTGGTATAAAACCACCCTGTGCTCTGTGCAGGGCCTCCAGCTCCTGAGCGAAGTAGAGCCTCCAGCAGCTGGTGAATGGCAGGAAATACTCTGTGTCAGCAGGCATGAGGCACAGGCAAAGGGAGCCTGGTGGGAGGTATGGCTGCAGGGCCTGCTCCCAAGAAAGCACCTGTGTGTCTGTGGGAGTGAGTGTGGGATTTGTATGGGATTCTTTGTGCCAGAGCCACAGCATGGCTGGACCTCACATGAAATTCTGTTTGTGTTTGCAATGCCAGGATCTCTTCCACCTGTGGCTTATCAAAGGGGTGATCAAGGGGTGTCAGGGCCCTGACAGGTTACCCATGCTGGACTGTGTGTTGGGGCTCTGTTATCACACCAGCATCAGCCACGTGAGCCACAAACAGCAAGGTGCAGTGGCTGGGGGATGGTGATGGAATGCCTGAATCCCAGGGCTGGAGCTCTCTGCAAGAGTGGTGAGAGAGGCTGTGCCCTCCCACTGCAGTTTCCCAAGCAGATACACCTCTGTTGCCAGGAGCCCTGCAGCTCATCCCAGTCCCTGCCTGTTTCTATGCTGTTTCTGTCTACCAAGTGCTGCAGCTCCTGCAGGGCAAAAAAGTTTTTCTGCTGTCACTTGGGCCTTACCTGGAGTTTTTCTAGTGTTTTATCTCTATAAGGTGTCTATCTCCAAGGTGTCCTTTCCAGAGGCAGACTAACAATTCACCCCAGGAGCTTTTCCTGTGATTTGAGACTAATTTACCTGTCAAAATTCTCATTTCCTTCAGAGACCTACTAACCCATTTCTTGCCCTTTCCATTGACATATATCCTAACCTCCAAGCAAAGCTGCTCCTGCAAAACCTTCTCTTCATCTTCCTGTCTGCTCCCATCTCCCCCTCATCTGAGCTGCTCTGCCCCAGATGTTGGTTTTGCTCATTATTTGCCAAGTTTCCTCTGCAATGGCACAAGACTGAGCTATTACTTTTTAGTGCTTGGTAGCAAATTCATTTGGAAGAGGATGGTAGCTCATTCCTTTACTAAAAGCACAAATCACTGTCTCCACACCTGGAGGCAGTGTCAGGGTTCACCATTGGTGAGCCCCACAAGGTATATGCTGGACAATGAAGGCTTCATCCTTTCACAGCTCCAGACCCGATGCAGTGAGATCACATGAGGGCACATCTGTATTCATCTGCTCTTGCCCTGCTCCTGCTGGCTTTCCTTCCCTTGAAGCCTTGGATTGTTTTCCCCAAAATATGGATACATCATTTGGGCTTTTCTTTCTGTATCTCTATTATTTTTACATTTTCCTCTGCCCCTTTCTCTTCATCTGTAGATTTTATTAAACTGCTGTTTCCTCTTCTCTCTGCATCTCCTCCCTTAACCTGCCCAAGAGCTCAGAGGGTGTAACAGAGCTCAGATCTTTCTGTGCTAAATCTCTTCAAAGCAAAGAGCTGTCCTTCCCCTCTGGGCTGTTTGGCCTCAGGTCCAGCAGGGACCACTGTGCATACACAGGGAGGGACAGGCCAGAGCTGGACAGTTCTGCACCATCACCACTGCTGGTGCTCTGCACGTCTGTGTCAGTGCCTGTGCAGTTGTGCCAGGCTGCACCCCCTCTGCCTGCATCAGTGCTCCAGCAGTTACTCCCCGCTCCCCCAACCCGCACGTGTGGACAGGCCACAGCTGCCTCTGCCCCAGCTGTTTTGCACATCTGGGCATTTCTGTGAAGATGCGTGGCTGTGCCCAGCTCGCAGCTCCGCGCTGCCTGCGTGTCACTGTGAATCCTCCTCCCCTCCAGAGCCCCTTCAAAATGTGCCCCAAGTGCCTGTGAATTATGCCAGACAAGGGTGATCATGGGCCGTGTCAGCAACCCAAGGAGAGAATGGCTGAGAACAGACTGTGCCTGAAGATGATGGTTTGGGTGTCCGTTGCCCAGAGGGACAGCCTGTGCTGCCCCAGTCACTGACTCACCTCTGCAGCAGGGGTACTGGTTTGTGTCTTCCTCAGTTCCTGTGTTGTGTGTGGAAATACATAATAAAGTGTTAGAGAAGCTGACTGTGTTGAAGCTGATGCTTGAGTGCCGGCCTCTCTGTACATCAGGAGGTGGCAGGGCTTTGCAAAGCTGGCCTCTGCTCAGGCTGGGCCCAAGGCAGAAACCATGACATCCCAGGGTCCCTCCTGTGGCTGTGCTTTTGGATTATTGGCTGGTGTGTGGCAAATGCCACCATGGCCCCAAAACCTTATTTCCTGATACATGACCCCCGCCTCCAAGTGCAGGTCCCTCTGCCTAAGGACCCGGATGTAGCCGGATCCCCTCTGTGAACCTGTGACCTCGCCGTGACCCTGAAAGATGCTCACATGGAGCACACAAAGCTTCCTGAATATGTCAGTGCTGGCTGGTTTGTTTACAGAGAAGCTCTTTTACCCTGGGGCAGGGCTGAGCCTTGTGGCAGCAGCTGCTCCCTGCAAGGAGCCTGGAACCAGTCTGCCTGCATACCTGCTCCCAGTCCCGTCCCCAGCCTCAGCCACAGTCCTTCTGGCACCTTCCTGGGCTGAACCCCTTGAGAAGGATCCTCTTTTTCTGCTCTGACCCCTTGTAATCCCAGCTCTGCATGCCAGGTGTATTTCCCTCCCTGTGAGCTGCCAGGCTCGTGCCCACTTGCACTGGAGCTGCCTGGAGAGGGGGCATTAAAAACTGCACATGAAAACCAGACGTGTCAGCTTGGTTAAAAAATAAATGGGTGGGCCTGCCAGCAGGGTCAAAGTAGACAAGCAACCCACCACTAGGTACTGAGGGACAAGAGTGAGTGAGATCCTGGATAAATAAGCCTGGCCACTCGTAGTTTTAATCTCTTTTAAGACATCACTGAGATTAAAAAGAAAATACTGCATCTAGTGTGAGTTCATGTGATTGAAAAGCATGTTGAAAATACCCTCCAAAACATAAATGAAATGCATTTTCCCAGCCCACAGATTTAAGTCTCCTATCTTACCTGAAAGATATCAAAAATTTCCAAAAATTACAGTAGGTAATGTATTTTCATGGGTAGTTGATGAGCCCAGAAGGCAAACCACAAGACAGTGACTGCAAAAGTAAAGCTTAGTTTAGAAATATTTAAGAGCAAAATATTCATGAAATTTTTAAAAATATTTAAGAAATATTTAAGAGCAAAAACTGGCCGACAACTGAAAGGAAGCCAGCAAGTTTTCCTCCTCCGCATGGCTTAAAATGTCACATTTGCTGTCTGGGCTGTATTGCCCATCCAGTGCCTGACTCATTTGTCCTCTTTGGTTCACACTCTCTGAGGTGTATTATTTACCTTTGTATACACTGTGCTCTATAAATGTCTTAATGAGTGAAGAAACAGAAAGGCAGTTAACAGTGAAACGGATTTGAAGGAGGTGGTGGAATTGACTGTGTGGCAGGGCTGCAAGAAATGCTGTCCCTGTGTTGATACTTCACTCTCTGGAGCGTGAGGAAGAGATTCCCGAGCTATCAGGCATGGTAAAGACTGGGCTGTGCCCTGGGAAATCTTCCCAACCGGATGGTACCAGCCTTATGAATCACTTACCAAGGAGAGCAAATGTTTCTGCTTCTCCCTGCTTTTAACCCCAGCATAACCCATGCAGGCACAGCCGACTGCAGCAGGAACAACTTGCAGTTACCTGTGTCTCATGTGCTGTTTATCGTACCACAAAGATGACAGGAATGCAAAAATTACAACGTTCCTGTAACTCCACGGTTAGAGATGCACTCAGGACTCTGTAATGGGAGCCGAGGCACGGGGCCGTCTCGGCCCAGCGCACGTGGCTGCCTGACACAGCAACTGGCACCACTGAAAAATCTGCACAGCTCTGCAGAGCTGACAGGGGAAAGGTAAGTGTCTTTCAGCATGTCTTGCTGGAGAGGGAAGAGAGAAAAGGAAGAAGGGCTACAGTGGGAATCACAGATTCACAGAATCATTTAGGTTCAAAAAGACCTCTGAGGTCATCCCTTCTAACACTGGGAAGTTAACAAGGAATGTATTTATGGTTCTTGAAAGCACATGCAAAAAAAGCCACACCCCGGCTGGGGGTCTCCTCCCAGCACTGCCACGGGGAGAGTCCCAACAAACCATTGCAGGCAGAAGCAGGGCTAAATCATGATTTAATCACACCCCAGAGTGACAACACATTGAGGGACAGAACAGGGCTGGGTCTGGTGCAGTGGGGCCAGTGCCCAAGACCCCACAGAGAGCACCAGGGCAGAGTCCTGGGCACAATGGGTACTATCTCCTTCATCCTCAGCATCCGAGCAAGGCTGGGAAAGCAGCAGCAGGTCTGGTGTCCCTGTGACAGTGCAACCTGTTGGCGTCATGCTGGGGCACTGTGGGGCTGGCTGCCTTCAGCCTCCATCACCATTCCCTGCCCATCCCTCTCTCCCCTCCTCTCTGCTCCTTTCCTCCTGCCCTCAAACATGTGGGGTCAAAAACCAAGGGGATGGAGCTACGGAGATGACAAGAGGCTGCAGCAGTGGTGGCTGAGTTGTGAGCTCAGATGGAGAGATGCGAGTCCCGCTCCTGTTTGTCTGGCAGCTGCTCGCTGGGCTGGATGTAGTTGTCCTCGATGAAGCCATCATCATCCTCAGCTTGCATGTCAGCTTGCACAGAGCCCCTGTCCCAGCTGCTGCTGTCCTCCATGGGGCTGCCTCCAATGGAGCTGATTTCAGGCAGCGGTCGGTGGCGGTAGCTGGTGAAGTTCTTGTGGACAAGCTTGCACTTGGCAGCCAGTGCGATCAGGATGGAGATGCCGACTGCTGTCACCAGGAATGCCACCAGGTATGGCCAGCTCCTTCCCCCCTTCCCAGTGGCAGGCAGCGTGGTGGCGGTGGCTGTGGCACAGGAAAGGCACATGGTCAGCCTGTGGCACACCCGGTGCTCCCCATCCGCCAGCCCTGTGCCTGTCTGCAGAGTGCAGCCAGCACTGGATTGCTTTCCTTAGGAGCAACGTAAATGCTCCTCACCAAGGGTGTGTGAGCACTGAGGGCAAAAGCCTGACAGCTGTCTGACACTGGTGCCCACCGCTGTGGAGTCCGTGTTCCACATGGCTTTGGGGCACCTGCTAACTCTTCTGTCATGAAGCCAGCGAACACCTCCAGGTGGTGACCACCCTCCCCACCAAGCCACTGCATCTGCACTGTGTCTCCACCTGCAGTCCCTCCCGTGGAACAGAGGGCAGGAGGGAGCTAGACCTTACAGGCACCTCTGAATCTGCACAACTTACTGTCGTTCTGGGTCACTGTGATCTGCTGTGCCGTGCTAAGCGCACGAGGAAACCGGTGCTTCATCCAGCAGCCCAGGTCCTGGGAATCCAGAGCTGCGATCTCCTGGCCCCGCAGCCCCGGGGGCGACACGCAGGTCACCTGCACGGCTGGGGGACAAGTGGGCTAAGGTGAGACAGGAGGCTTCACCCATCCCCTCCCAGTTTAGAGAAGATGATCTCTGCTTGCTCCTGGGTGGATGGGACACATTGCAAAGTGCTCCTGGCTCTGCCCTCCAGCCTCACCAGCCCTCAGCATATTGTAAGGCACAACCAAAGGAAAAATTCCCTGACCAAGGAACTATGCAAGTGTGTGACTGTGATTAGCAGGCTCCTTTTAATTGAACAATGACAAAATCATGGATACTGAGAGGAACTGCACTGCTTTGCCCTGGGAGCCGAGCTCAGATGGTGGGAGCCTGACCTGGCTCCACAGGAGGAGCTGCCAAGCCCTCTGCAGCTCTTGAAAATGTGGTCACTCCACAGAGTTACATAAAGATGGATTTAGGGGCTGAAGTGTACATGCAGCCCCTTTCTTGGAAGAGTGACTAAATTATCCTGCTAGGTCTCTGGAGAGCCATTTCAGAGCCCGTGCAGGGGTTGGAGTGAAAGGATCAAGCAGAACCCCTAACCCAGAGTTCCTCCCGCCCGACACCTCTCCTGCCACCTGCTCCATCCGCTCACCTTTCCTGAGCTGCAGCCACTGCTGCAGGGGGTGCGCGGTGCAGTCGCAGACCCAGGGGTTTCCTTCCAGACGGACCTGCGGGACTGTCTCCATCAGCTGCAGGCTCCAAGTGTCCATGGAGACCAGCTCATTGTGCTGCAGGTCCAGGTGGAAAAGAGACTTCAGTGGCAGGAGGAAAGAGACATCAAGCTCTTGCAAGCTGTTGTTTCTTAGGATCAGTGTGTGCAAGTTTCCCAGGCCCTGGAAAGTGTCCCTGTGGAGGGAGGTGATGCCGCAGTTGCTCAGGTCCAGCAGACGCAGCGCCCCGAGGTTGGAGAAGGTTGCTGGGCTCAGCGTTGGCATGGCATTGCTAGAGAGGTTGAGAGAGCGCAGGGAAGGGAAATGCATCAGGAGAGTCCTGTCACGGGGCATGACCAAGGAGTTGAAGGAGAGGTCCAAACTGGTGATGTTTCTTGGAAGGGAACTTGGAGCGTGCTGAAGGCTCTTCCCACTGCAGTCGGCCCATCCCTGGGAAAAGAGCTACTGTCTGAGATGGGCTGTCCTTGCTGGGGAGTATCTCTAGAGTGAGACTCCCCAGAAGTTCAAATTATTTACCCTTGCAGAATTTATGAAAAGCAAAGACACAAGCAATTTAACACAAAACACATGAGCTGCCAGATTGGTGTGGGCCTGGATAAATAGAGAAAGATGTGCAGGACAGCCGGGGACTGAGAGCAGCTGACTGAAGGAGTAAAGGAGGAGCATGCAGGGCTGGGAGGAAAACCCAGAGATATGAAGTGGGTGCAAAGGGACCAGGTTGTCACCCTTCTGTCCTTCCTTACTGGGAAGTTATCATACAGGGTCAGCTTGCAGAGGGCCTTCCTCTTCCTCCCCTGGATCCCGACATCCAGGCCCCTGGGGAGCTCTTCCATGACACAAGGGCATCCTCCCAGCTGGGGCAGGGAAGTAGGTGAGCCCTGCCCATTGGAAAGGCAGGCAGGCA